ACCGCATTACTTAAATTAAACCGGTGGTTATTTATGGAATAGAGTTTTGGACTTACTTTTATTTTTATGACAAATTATATAGTTTGGTTTTTGGGCTTAGTGTTAAAGCAAAATTACAAAAAACATTAAATAAACTTTCAACCAAAAATCAATTACTATTTTCATGCCCAAAAGTATTTAATATTTTTAAGAAAACAAAATTATATGTTACTAATCACTTATTTAAATCATGTACTTAAAACATGTTAATATTTTTTTATTTTAAATAACAATCACTCTATCTTGATAAATTTCAATGGTAACTTTTAAATAGTTTATTTTTTATTTTTCTTAAATAATTTACTGATTTAAAAAAATATAAAGCAAAATTAAAAACCAAATCTAAAAATTCAAATCCAAAACAAAAAGCTGAAAACACAGTTTATATTTTTGTTTTTTTTTATTTACAAAAAAAACTATTGCAATTTTTTTTTTTTTAAAAATGTCATCTTTTCAGTTTTAAATTAGATATTCGATTCTTTGGAATTTGTTTGTTGGTAATTATGAGTTCAAATTAACTCAACGGATCTAAAAGCTAAAACCCAAATCAAAAGCTGAAAATCAAAATAAAAACTTAAAAACCAAAAACCAAAATCTAAAAATAAAAACTAAAACTAAAAACTAATGCAAAACAATCATCACCACAAATTTTGGATTACTGGTTTATACCAAAACATACTACAAAACTCAATTATATAAACTTTTAATCCTAAAAAATTTCCGCGTTTGAAAAACGCGGATCAAAATCTAGTATAAGTATTATAGAGATTCATCTTCAAAACAACGAGGATAATTTAAATGTTTAAATTAAATAAATCTCCCTTCAGTGCTCTCTTGTATTTGAAAGAAAATTTATCTTTTCAAAGCCACCATCACTTTTCGACAACAGGTTATTACTTTTTTATGACAATAACAAGAACAAGCTGGTGCTACACAATTATAGATTAAACTCATTTACTGTATTTTTCATGGCTCCATTTCTAAAGCTTGTTCACCCTTCCGTAAAACTCTAGAATTTGTTGTTCTTTATTACTTCTTTGTCTTTTTATTTTGGACAAATACTTCTGTTTGTCTACTAGCTTTAATCAATATGTCGTCGATATATATATATATATAAAATTTTCATTTAAATCACCAACTTTTAAATTTAGTTGAAATAAAGTATCAATTTTCTCGTAAGCCAAAAAGACATCGAACTTTTATTGACAAACCATTTTAATCATAAATTTTCTTCGACTATACCAGTTTAGTCATATCGTTAGTAAACAATCATAGTTGACTAACATTAGACCTAAAACAGTTTTCAAAGTTGATGTTTTATGGCTCAAATATAAATCAATATTTTCTAAAATATTGGATATATTTTAAAATTTTTATATGAATCACTAATAAATAAACTCAATGTAAAATAATTAGTTAACATATCATTAATTGATTATCTTAGTTATAAAATGATAAGAATATTTTAATTATTTATGATTATTTTTTGTAAATATTTATAGAATCCTATTTGAATTATTTTTTATAATTTTATTTTCAAAAGTTTGTTGATGAAATATTTTTTCAACTCTTGATTCTTAAATGAAAAGAGTTATCGGTTAATAAATTCTTCATGATTATTTATATTTATAATAAAGATCTTTAAAAAAATATATATATATATATATATATATATATATATATATATATATATATATATATATATATAATTTCTATAAAATTTTTACAAGAGGTTTTCTGCATTTAAAGAAAAATAAGTTTCACAAAAAGTGATAACTCTTTTTGTTATCCAATAACTCATTTTGTTTAAAAAATCAAAAATTGAAGTAATATTTCACTAACAAATTTTTGATAGTAAAATTATAAAACATAATCCGAGTAGGATTACAAAAATATTTTTTAAAATTAATCTTAAATAATTAAAAAAAATCATAATAATTTTCTAACTAAAATACTCAATTATGGATATGTTAATTAATTTTTTTACATTGAGTTCTGTTTATATTTTTGTTGGAATTTATTTTTTATTTACAATTTTATTATTAGTGTTATAGTTATTAAAAGTTTCTACTCCTAATACACTTTTTCCTAACTCATTCTCTTTTCTTCTAACTAAAACATAACTAATAGGACCCACACATTATTATCATCTTCTTCACCATTTTTTTAGTATTGTAGTGATGGTTTAACGCGACAAAAACGGCGGTGAATAAAACAGTATCGTTGCAAGCAGTCAAAAAACGATACTGTTTTCTTCACCGCCGTTTTTGTCGCGTTAAACCATCACTACAATACTAAAAAAATGGTGAAGAAGATGATAATAATGTGTGGGTCCTATTAGTTATGTTTTAGTTAGAAGAAAAGAGAATGAGTTAGGAAAAAGTGTATTAGGAGTAGAAACTGCCTTTTAATGTTATAAAAACTCAAAAACTGTCTTAGGATGTAAAAAACTCATTATTATCACTTGAATCTTCCGTCACGGCAAGTTTGCGGTGTTTTTTTTTATTTTTATGGATCTTTTTATTTTGTGGTGCTTAAACTCGATCCACAAAAAGATCTCCATGATAAGCCATCGTTGACGTGACAGAGCAGCCGGAGGCTCCATCGTCGGCAACCTCAAACCACTAGCAATACCGTAATCCACGCTAAGTCAAATCGTATCCTTCTCACTGTGGTCGTCATGCTCTGGACTAGAGTCGTGGCTGCCGGAAACGTCGTCGCTTAAGTTGCAGATTGAAGAGAAAGCTTCACCGAAGCAAAAATGGTGAACTTTTGGTTATTTGCACATGTGGTACTCCAACTCTCGCTTATTCTCCCATTTGTCTCAAATTTCTAATTTGTTCAAGTTTGTTCATGAATTTATTCATAAACTTTTAATCATGCAATCTAGACCAAGGAAATTTTCTGATTTCGCAACACTGTCTCTGCCATTTTGTTTTGCTTCACTTATATCCTATTTTTGATTTGCAAATCAATCCTTTTGATTGTCTCATATTTCCAATAATAGTTGTATATGTGGACAATGAAATATGTATACATTCTTACCATGGTATAACATTACTCATCTGGATCTACAACTTTCAAGATGTGTACTTCGACTTAGAGGTGAGATAGCAGAAATATGTGTACACATTACCATAATATCACACTATCTAATTGAATAATTTTGCTAGTTTCAAAATGTGTACAACCATATAATGTCCATGTGTACACACAAATTTTACTATCATATATAATGATTCATTTGTATAATATTTTCCACGTATCTATCGATGTATAAACATCCACATGTACGACTAATTTTTTGTTTTTGAGCAAGAAAGAACAAACGACATGTGTATACACTGTGATACATAAAAACTTGAACAAATTAGAAGTTTAAGAAAAATGGACAAGTTATTTTGTGTAAGCTTTATAAAGTGTACATGTGTACATCGACAATGAACCAATATATGTAAAGATGTTGTACACATTTAGGTGGATTAGTCATTACTTACTAAAATACATAACAAATCGAAAAAGTTAAACTGAAAATGATGTACATGAGAAAATGTGTATACATGATTTTGTATTTTATTCATATTTAATGATTTATGTGCATATATTGCCAAATTTCATTAACAGGGAGTTCTATTATGTAGCTGGTTAATTTTGAGCATAATCAAAGATAGAATTAATTTTGGGCATGACAATATGTGTACACATTACTTTGTGTGTTATGTATACACTAATGATTTTAGTTTTGATACACATCTACACTAACAACTTTGATCGTACTCATGTACACTAACAGATAGAAATATGTGTACACACAATTTAAATAGTAAAATTTAGATACTTTTCCAAATCAGGTTTGCTTTTTACGAAAACATCTCAATAAGTGTATACATAATTTTGTGTGTTATCGGATTTTCTTTACATGATAATAAGTATACACAAGATTTTGTTTATTATTCATATCTAATGATTTTTTCTTTTGATATATTTAGATACATATGTAAATGTGTACACACAATTTATGTACATATGTTAACGTGTACACACAATTTATGTACATATGTAAACGTGTACACACAATTTAAATATTACATATGTAAAAGTGTACACGATTTGGAATAGAATCAAATCAAAAAAATTACCTGCAAAGCCAAAAAATTGGGATAAAAACAAAATAATAATCGCTTGGTCCAGATTGCACAAAATAATAATCGTTTGAACATATTAAAAGTTTGAGACAAATTAGAAAACAAATAAGAGTTGGAGGACCAAATGTGCAAATAACCAAAAATGACCATTGTTGATGTAGTGAAGCTTTCTCTTTGATTTGAGGCAAAAGCGATGAATATTCCGGCGGCCACAACTTTGGTTCCGAGCATGACGGCCACAGTTGAAAAGAAATAATGCGGATTATGATAGATCTATGTAAGAATGGAGTTCGTGTTTGAGGTCGTTACCAACGAACTTTTCGGCTGCTCCATCACGTTTTGCTTTTCAATCCACGATGGAGTTTTTTGATTGCTTGCAACGATACTGTTTTCTTCACCGCCGTTTTTGTCGCGTTAAACCATCACTACAATACTAAAAAAGTGGTGAAGAAGATGATAATTTGTGTGGGTCCTATTAGTTATGTTTTAGTTAGAAAAAAAGAGAATGACTTAGGAAAAAGTATGTTACGAGTGGAAACTGCCTTTTAGTGTTATAAAAACTCAAGAACTGTTTTAGGATGTAAAAAACTCTAAAGACAATATAAAGAGCGGACTTGGCAACAGGAATATTCTATTAGGGCAATTGATGTTCGATATTATTATAGATAAAGATTCTCTATCGTGGAACATGCACTTTAGACGGTAGAATCAGAATCAGAACATGCACCATAGTCTATATAGTGTAACTTCTTATGCACTGTGTTTGACCTGTAAATGCCTAAAGAAAATAATAATATAAATGGTAGAGAATCAAGATTAACCTTTGAAAGAGTTGTCAATATAATCAGAGACCAAATATTCAAATGATTCCCTAAGGGAATGTCAAAGAACAGCAAACGCAAATACATCTTTGTTGTCCACGACAAGCAAAAATTAAAGCAAAGCAAAAAAGGCCTGTTTCCAATCCAGACATAACAAATGCAAAATATCAAAGTATCCCTCCTTTCACACCAAAATACAAACTAAACTTTGTATGAACAAAGAATCCAACTCTTTACGAAACAAACTCACGACTCAGGTACTGGGATTGGCGCTGGAGGTTTGAGAAGTGGCTGCAAAGCTTTCACAACGATACTCATATTCGGTCTAAACTCTGATTCATATTGCACACACAATGCTGCCACCGCTGCTAGCTGCATTGCCAAATGACAGATTCATAAAATTTTAGATGAAAGTTTGAGAGTAACGGCAATGTAATTATATGTGACACAAACTTAGTTATTTTCCAAGTTTTATTTGGGATACTCGTGGGAGTGAAGATAGTACCTTAGCTACTGATTTAGGAGGATATTCTCCTTTTAGCTTTGGATCAACACACTGCTTCACTTTATCTTCACTTAGTCTCGGTGTAGCCTGAAATAATAAACAGCAAACTCTAACTTATAAGGCAGGGGATTTAAATAGAGCATGTAAAGCTTTGGACAGTGCACAGATAGTAAACAAACCCAGGTTACAAGACTTTGTTGCCCACGTGGCATTGTATGATCCACAGGTTTCCTCCCTGTCAAAAGCTCTAGAAGCACAACCCCAAAGCTATACACATCACTCTTCTGCGTCAACTGTCCAGTCATAGCATATCTGCATATGGAAAACACACACGTTTATTAGCTGCTTCATTCATATACTTTCATCTGGGTGCAAAAGGGTTTATAAGGAGCACTACTCTGGAGCGTGATAGCCAAAGGTGCCCAAGACTCTTGTAGAGTGAAGGCGAGCCGCATTATCAGGAGCTTGATTTGAGAGGTTAAAATCAGCCACTTTCGCTTGATAGTCTTCAAAGAGAAGCACATTGCTAGATCTTACGTCTCTATGTATAACAGGAGGCTGAACCTTCTCGTGAAGGTATTCTAAACCCCTAGCTGCCTCAACGGCTATCTTCACCCTCGTTATCCAGTCAAGTGTTGGACCTGGCTGTGCACCTTGAACTCCCTTCCTACCATGCAGAACATCGTGCAGTGATCCCATCGTTGCAAACTCATAAGCAAGAACACGGAGGTTCTCATCAACGCAATAACCCACCAGCTGAACGAAGTTCTCATGCTTCAATCTTGAAACCATGGAAACCTAAGGGAGAAGTAAGCAAGACGATGTAAAGACAAGTTTACCCAACGAGAAATGAGGGTAGGTAGACTGAAGCAAGAAAAAATAAGGTTAGAACCTGACTCAAGAACTCAGTGTTTGTTTCAGCTTCAGGGGCAACATCGAGTTTCTTCAAAGCAACAGCTTTACCATCACTAAGAGTAGCATAATACACCCTTCCATAAGATCCCTCACCAATGAGTGACTTTGATCCAAAATTTTCAGTCTTTTCTTCAACCTCTTCCACAGACAAGGGAGGAACTTCAATGGGAAGAGCTTCCTTGGGCGCCTCAGGCTTTGCAACAGCTTGTGGTGTTGCCTTCTTATTTACTGCATGTGTGTAACAAAAAAACGTATTCCAATTAGAAACATACACAAAGAGAGATTCATCAAATGTTTCATGTTACATCCTTCAAAACAATCAACTCCTAATGATTCTGTGAGTTACAAAGCCTGAAGCCTTTACACTGGCACTAGAACCTATTCCAAATAGATCAGGAATCATAACCACAAGGGAAGTCTCTTGTTACAAACGTTACATACCATCAGGTTGTTGCCATTGAGTTTTCAGATGTTGCTCATCATTTGATATATCAGAATCTTCTGATCTACGCCCACAACAGATCCACCTGCGCATGCTTCTTCTCTTCTTTACAGCTTTCAGTTCCTGAAACCGTTAAAACCCAACTGGTTATGTATGCATAAAACTATCTTCTACTAGCTCATTAAAGCTTAACGCTTTCATCTCACTACCTCCAAAATATAAACAGACAGACAAGTGTTCGTAGAAGTAATCTGGTAGAATGAAAAAAATCTAACAAATCAAAGTATGTAAGAAACTGGAATCAGGGTGGCATCAAGATTGCAACTTTACTAAGAACAGAGTCTAAAAACGAAGATCGAATCAGAAGAGAAAAGATGGGTTTGCTTGAAACGATCCAAGAAACCTTAAAAAAAAGGTGGAAAATTTGAGAGAATTGATTCCAGAATAAAGGAAGATTCTTTCTTTACCGGTCAAATCTCAAAAACGTGCTTAAGTTGAGACTTGTAATTGATCTCTCTCTCTAGAGGTGTTCGTCTGTGTATGATTGGCTTCTCTGTAGAGATGAGAGAGGGTGAGTGGAGAAGGAGAAGCTTTTTGGTTGATGAAGAGAGAGAGAGAGACAGATGGGCAAAAGCGGGGACGGATATAAACCGGCCAAACCAAAATGAAAGCCGACTTTTTTCTTCTTTTTTGTTTTTTTTCTTTTAAATTTCTTGCTTAAAAATAATTTTCTGCCATTATCCCTATATAATTGAACCCAACTAATCACTCACTTTTTGCTGTGTTTTAATTATTCAAAAAGAAGTTACAATATATATATAACTTTGAAGGAAAAATCTCCTAATTTTAAATCTATCAAATACTTATACAACTTTAAATTCCAGATATGCAACCTAATATATATAGAAAAAAATTGACTAGAGTATAAGTTATCTGTACATCGTCATGCCTCATTATAAAAGAGATTGACATGCCTGATTAGTATAAGGTTTCCCGTTATGTTGACTAGAGTATAAATATAAAATTAGATTATTCTTAATTTAAAAAAAAAATATATACTATTTTGAGAAGCATTCTTAGTGAAAATTGATGACGTGAATACGCTCACAATCACATTAGACTTCAGTCATGATATCTTTACAAGTTGACATATACACACAATCTTTAAACATGGAAAGAGTCAATTCATGATTTGGTTATGAATATTTTTTGGAATTAAATCTTCATGAATGCTTAATTCTTTTGATTTCCTCAAAATGTTCACCAGTTAAAATGAAAGAATGGAAATGATATCCCATTTTATTTCATACTATTCCATATCAAGAAAAGAAAGTTAACATTCATTTAAAAAATCATTGATGTCAAAAATTATTCTGGAATAATTAGAACTAGATGGTTGCCCACAAATATGCAGATATAAATATTGTCTGAAAATATATATATATTTTTTATATAATACTTTAAATTTTGAATAAGGATTAGAACATTAAAGATAAATTTTTAACTTTAAATACTTTTAATCATCATATGTCTTATCTATCATCTTATTTAATTTTAATGCAAATTAATTTTTAGTTTCAAATTTTCATATATTTGATGCAAATAGCTGATGAGTATTTAGTAATAACAAATGTTAGTGGAATTATATATGCATTTATCTTATTAACTTTTTCAACAAATCATTTTCAACATCTTATGTCTCTCATTATCACTTCTTTCTTCTTATCACATTTTAACATGTATTGCTAATGTGTACAATTTTTTTTTATTATATCATATAGTTTATAACTATAGAATAAATAAATTTAAAATTATTACTCTTTCTATTTTTTTGATAATGAGTTCCCATAAATTGTTGTTTGTAATATCATTGGAATGTGATATTAATTAGTTATGGACTTGCCTTTTATTTTAGATTTAATTAAAATAATTAAAAATTCAAAATCATCGACCAATCAAATTAGAACAATTTTTCAGCACTTCACCTTTAAATTACACGTAAGCATAAGTCACTTAAATGAATTCTCAATTAATATATAGGAAGACGTTGATTTCTTTAAATTCATAAAACAATTTATTTCTATCACTCCATCTATTTTCTTATTAGTCACAGTTACAGCCTTCGATCGAGAATATACTACATTTTGAAAACTGTTGATGTACTTTTATGTTTTTCTATAAATTAAACTCGCTTACCAAAACTTACGAGGAATATTTGAATAATATATTCTCAAAGAGATTTTTTTTAAGAAAAAAGTTGTATTGTACTTTATTTCTTTTGAAAATTACATTTTTCTTAAGTTAAATGACTAAACTATATTAACTAAAATGTATTATTACAGTAAGAATTTAGAATTATTATTTTTGAAAATTACATGGAGAATCTGATTTTACATCAAACCAGCTTATCAAACTCATTGATAAGGTGGTTAGGAATCGATTCAGCTCTATTGTGATGATGGGAGACTTACAGTATGCTAATGGCCTATGATACGGGTTTAACACAAAGTTCACAACTTAGTTTAAAAAATTCTTTAGATTCTTTAATTCTTTAATCCAATGATGTACTTGATCTAACAAAGTTTTTTTATGGCTGAATAAATTTTTACATTTATTAAAATATAAATTATATAAATGTAGTTTTCAATTTGAAAACATAAATAGAGTATTTTCCAGTTATCCAAAACTATAAATAAAAAATTTCGTTGATTTTCTAAAACCCACAAAATGGAAAGAAAAGAAAATAGAGAAAAAAAATGCTAAATTCGGTAACCCGAATGATAGAAGGTTCCATCAAACTAATTTGGATTGCATTAATTGTCATCTCACGATTTTAATATTAATATCTAATCTAAGAAAATGATTAATTGAGAATATATATATATATATATATTGAGACTAGCTATCAGTTGACAAAAAAAAAAAGAGACTAGCTATGTCGCTCATGAGAAAGTGATCTTGGTACTACTTGCCATTTTAGGTACTTTCTCTGCTTTTGCTTTGATGTAGTGTCTTACTTACCATACTTGGTACTACTGTCATTTTAGGTACTATCTATGTGCATGATAAGTTATTTATTACTTGCAACACATGGCCTTGTGTTCCATATATCTCTATAAAAGCACAATTAACCATGGCTCTTAGCCATGAATCTTAGAAAAAAAATTATTTAAAAATTCACGGGTCTCATTTATGTGTTAATAGTTGCCTCTTCTTTCTCTTTTGTAAGAAGCGATTTTAAGGTGATTATTGGACTGTTTGCAGATCCCACCAACATGTGTCGGTTCACAATTAGTTCTCTATTTTTTTTTTCAAACAAAAAAAATCCTAAGAACCTGTGCCAAGAACCATAAAGGTTAATTATGCTCTAAAAGACTCCAATTGTGGTTTTCTTATATCTTTTTCAATGGGTTAACTAGATTTTGACCCGCACAACCGTGCAGATGTTTGCTTTCAGTGTTCTTATATACATAAAATATTTATTTTAGATTATTAATGGTACAAATTTTTAAAAATATATCATATATTTAAATGTTTATAAAACTATTTCAAATTTATCATGTAGAAGAGAAGAGATGCAAGTTAATTTTTTATAGGGGAAACAGTTCCTAGATTTATGTTAATCATAGGTTTAAAGTTTAGTCGAAATTTTAGGTGAAAAATATATTCTTAACAGAATTTCCTTGAAGCATAATTTTAAGAATAGCATTTATTAATGGAAAATAATTAAAGCAAGCATATATCGTAAAAAATTGAAAAAAATATTGTTTTGAAGGTATTTCAAAATTTAGGAAATAGATTTTGAATAGATTTTCTGTGAACCATAATTTTAGGTCAATCGAATCAATGTCAAACTAATTTTAGCTGATAATATATTGACTTCACAAATTTTTGGGAATACTAATTAGGAAGAAATATATTTTGAAAAGATGTCAATTGATTTTTGATTAATATTGGCTTAGCATTGTATAATTTCAAATGTAGAAAAAACTAACCGAATCTCAATATTTGTGAACAATATATCTCTGAAAAGATTTTCATTTAACAATAATTTTTGGTTTATCTAATTAACGTCACAAACTCCACGATATTTTCTGTAAATTTACCCGGCTAATTAATTTTTCATAAATGGTTGAGCAATAAATTATTTATCAGATATATATGTTATACTTATTTACATTATTTAGGCATCTGAGATTTTAATATTTACGTTAACAGTAGACCATGTTCATCTTCTCCCAATGCTCACTGTGTTAAGTTTATAAAGTAACAAAATTATTAACAAATGTTCAAGGCTAACAACAATAGCGAGCATCGTTTTCTATTGTCTTCTGCTTTCCTTGACTGCAAAAACAGCCCTATCAAACACACACAAAATCATAGAATCTGGGAAGACTTTCATGACCGAAGAAAGTAACATAAACTTGATATTCATTAAAAGTCATAGAATCTAAGAAGATATTATTAGTTTGTTTGGTTATAGAGTAAAAATTGTGAGACGTGAATGAGTTGCAGACGACTTTGACAGAAGAATTGATATGAACTTGATATTAATTAAAAGTCATAGAATTTGGGAAGATGATATTAGTTTATTTGGTTATAGAGTAAAACATGTGTAGACGTGAATAAGTTATTTCAATATATAGATGTCGATGTTAAGGTGCTTGTAATATTAAAATAATGATATAAAATTTTAATGTGACTAATTTCTAATAGATGATCTACAATAAAATATCCCATTTGAATCAAGGTTGTGACTTCTCTTTTGTAAGAAGCGATTTTAAGGTGATTATTGGACTGTTTGCAGATCCCACCAACATGTGTCGGTTCACAATTAGTTCTCTATTTTTTTTTCAAACAAAAAAAATCCTAAGAACCTGTGCCAAGAACCATAAAGGTTAATTATGCTCTAAAAGACTCCAATTGTGGTTTTCTTATATCTTTTTCAATGGGTTAACTAGATTTTGACCCGCGCAACCGTGCAGATGTTTGCTTTCAGTGTTCTTATATACATAAAATATTTATTTTAGATTATTAGTGGTACAAATTTTTAAAATATATCATATATTTAAATGTTTATAAAACTATTTCAA